TTGACGAAGCCGATCGAACTATGCTTGCTTATATTTGTAAGCAGCCTCGAAGCTGCACGTATTTCTAGCATTTTTGTTCCCCGATTCGGTTAGTTCTCGTGTATGTTATTGTACTTCTGGGCCATATTTTCGAATAAGCTACAAAATCTATGGAAACCAGACAATCCGGTTCCATTTATTCATGCAAAAAAGCATGCTTATTCACCTGGTCGGCATGGATTTTCATAAGGAGTGTCCGTTTGGAAAAGCTTACATTCGGTGGCCCACACTTCTCAACAGCAAAATGTCGAATTAGCTTGACACTTGCTAGGACTCTACCACTTTAGCAGTAATTATTTTCCATAAATTCTGATACAGCCTCATCAGACCGTCGATATAATATCACATTTATCAGTATTCACTCCCTCTTTGACGAATGTATGCAAGAGCTGATCACTAGATCTGAGGTCCAGTCTTTCATAATTGCTATTAATACTCATCTAGAAACCGATTAGAGTCAATCTGTATGTTAAATACACAATAAAATGGGTTTTCAGTATGCTTAAAGTATGTTTTGATATTGCAAGAACTTATGCTAATTCACTCGAACTTCCTGGTGCCATAAACCCCGAAAGATAGTGGATATTTCTTTAGTTCCGAGTGAGTAGAAGCACCATAGCCTCATGTAGCACCATACAAGGCTCTTTCTATCAAAAGACTGGATAGTGTTTGGGAAGTGAAGTATAAGGCATGCACCAGATAAATATTTCCGTCTTCCTTGGAATGTCCAGTTGGCTTGTTTGACCATAAAAATGAGAATGAGACAGTCGGAATGCGACATAAATCCTTCCTTAGCCAAATAAAAGCACTCCTAAGGCTTATTCAAACATCAACAGCCCCAATCATGTCTCGGAGTTAGATTTCATTGAGTATAGTTGTGAGTGATGTTTTCTAAGAATCCCCCCCCTACAAGAAGCTATCTGAGGCTAAGTATCCGTCCTTGAGATAAAAGGCTGTATTTCCCACAGCGATAATATTTTGGGTTGATTGAATTAATTTCCTGCTATGGCAGGAAGGAAATGGACTTCAATTTTATGCAACGTTCATAATCCACATTCTCATTAGTCCTACTTTGAACTTAACATCATTTTTATCCTAAGCATACGTGTATCCATTCTTTGCCCATTTATAAAATTGTTTAGCATTCACAATTTGGCTTTCCAGATTTTCAGTGTGCTAGACTTTTGTTATTTAGGTTATATCTGATTTTACATTTTTTTTTCAATTACTCCATCTACCCATATTCGCATTAGCCATTGACTGATTGCACTTTAAATCCGCAAAACCTGGATAAAACATACTTAAAAAGGTACAAAAATTACGATACTACTTGCGATCTCAAAGTACTAATAACTCTAATAGGCATTTTCTTTCATTACCCTACCATGGATATGCTAAGTGTCTCTTTCATTCATGCGCAACATTTCCTTTTTCTTCGTTGGTTTCTTGCCATTATTGTTGTACTATACAGTAGAGCCGTTAGCTTTTCTACAACATCACTTCAAATTACTTGGAATTTTAACTTTCAAAGCAGTTTTCAGCATCATAGCATGAGTTGGAGGTTAGTTAACTCACCCACTTAAGTCACACACACACACACACATGACGATTTGATAAAACGAGCAAGAGCGATTAAAATTATGCAGTGGCGACGAATCCTGATGGTCCGTAATTCTACTTGCAACGGCATTGGTATTATAAGTGAGGTTGATCTAACATTGTGTATTTGACAATTACTTTCATCAATCGACAGTGCTATCTTTGGCATATTTGGTACGATTCTCGCCGGTTGAACCTGCAACCACAAAATCGAAATAATTAGGAGCATAAGGGACATTTTGATGTTGATCATTAGCATCATAGAAATATGAAGGTAGTTGCATGCAATAAATTAAATAGGTGAAGATTTAGCGGAGAGGATGGAAACAAGAATAAGCATTATAGCGAGCAAGCATTATGTCAATTCGAGTTATTTAGAGGCTAAGCTGAGAGCCGGAGTTTATATAGCCTGATGTCTATTGCTTTGGATATGATAAAAAAAATTGCCCATACACTTGAATCCTTTTGCTGTCAAGTGACATTAAAATTCTTTTTAAATATTTTATGAGCTCAGTTTAATTTAATCTTAAAAATAGCAAATTATATTTATTCTTTTTTTTACTAAATTAACTAATTAACTAACAAGTAAAAATATATTACGACATTCATGAACATATTTTTAAATGTTGAGTCATTGAAGCCATCCATCATTCCTTCATAGATTCCATTTCTTATCTAAAAATCCAAATATTTATGGCCTTGAATATGGCGGTCAAAATTTCTTTAAGGATGTGCGTCTATATTCATTAATATGGGATGTATTCACCCTATTTCGTTTAAGATGATAACGGACTGGTAGTTGCATTTTCCCACAATGATATGATTATAACTGACGTTTCCATTGAATTTCACATAATATTGAAGTTGTTTGACCTTGTTTTCGCAACTTGGTCATATTGGCAGGAAGACTTAGAGGGACGCACCTAGTCCGG